GTAGGACTGGCAGCACGAAGAGAGTCAGACTCCGGGTCACCAAGAACAGGAAGAGAGGACTCTGGAGGAGAGAGCAACGGGACACGCAGAGGAGCAGTGGAAGGACGCAGTGCCATCTGGTGTGTGACTGGGACCGCAGGAGGACGTGGACGTGAAACACGACCACTAGTGCGAGCAGCACGAACAGGCGACGCAGGACGAGACGCAGGCTCACGACGCTCAGCAAGACCTCCAGTAGGACCAGTGTAGGGAGAAGGAGCAGGTAGGGGGGAGGCGGGCTGTAACTGTGACCGCGACTGGACAGGCTGTGGACACTCTAAGGGAGGAGCAGGACCAGTAGAGGGCGGGAGACCAAGAACCTGCTCAAGGAGCGGAACGAAGTACGGCCTCGGCCGCGCAGCGCCTCCAGAACCAGCAGGGACAGCACTAGTACCCCCAGCGGCAGCACCAGCGCCAGCAGCACCTCCAGCTCCAACAGCGCCAACTCCAGCACCCGCAGACGCACCAGCGTCAGTAGAACCACCAACGCCAACACCCCCAGCAGCTCCAGCACCAGCAGCTCCAGAAGCTCCAGCAGCACCAACTCCAGCAGGATCGGCAGCTCCAGTACCGCCAGCAGCTCCAGCAGTACCTCCAGTAGGACCAACTCCAGCAGCCCCAGCAGCACCCCCAGGCCCAGCAGCTCCAGTACCGCCAGTACGAGCACCTCCGGGACCAGTAGCAACAGTAGTACCTCCAGCTCCAGCAGCACGGCTCCAGCGCCGGGCAAACCACTCGCGCAGCTCCTGCGGAGAGAGTAGCTCCCGCCTCGACGAAGCACTGCGAGAGGCCACACGAGCAGACCCAGCACCCCCAGGCTCCGCACCCCCAGGCTCAGCACCCCCAGACTCAGCACCCCCAGACTCAGCACCCCCAGGCTCAGCACCCCCAGACTCAGCACCCCCAGGCTCAGCACCCCCAGGCTCCGCACCCCTGGACTCAGCACCCCCAGGCTCCGCACCCCCAGGCTCAGCACCTCCAGACCCGGCACCCGCAGGCTCAGCACCTCTAGCAGCACCAGAGTCAACAGCTACCTCGACAGGCTCGACTGCGTCTACCTGGGACACACCTGACGGGGCAGGACCCTGAGGGGGGAGGGGGTCTACCGGGGGAGGACCTGGCGCAAGGAAGAGCGGCGGCGGGGGGAGGGGCGCAGTGCGGTAGGGGAAGAGACGGTAGTAAGGCACCGACTCGTCAAAGGTGACGTCCTGGGAGGACAGAACACGGCGCGAGGTGGGGTGGTAAAACTGCCACCCAGGCGCGTCAGGGGGGAAGCCAAGGAAGACGCAGGGAACAGCACGGGGGGACAGCTTGTCCGCAGACAAGTCGCGGACAAACGCCCGAGATCCCCAGACCCGAAACGCAGACGCATCGCCAACCTTCCCGGTCCACCGCAAGGTGGGGGAGGTCTCTGGCAAGGAGACCCGGGGCTGAAGGTTGAGCTGATGCGCTGCGTACTGAACCGCAAACGGCCACAGAAAATGGAGAGCAGCCGCATGGATCATGGACGTACGAGCGACGTCCATGACCATGCCAATGCGGCGCTCAGCAATCCCATTTTGCTGTGGAGAGGCCGGAAGCGTGAAGGTCTGGCAGATGCCCTGTGCACGACAGAAGGCTCCCAGACGGGCAGAGGAAAACTCCCCGCCTCTGTCAGAGTGCAGACGCAGAACAGGAAAGTCCGAGCCGAAACTCTCTCTGAGCTGGAGACGAGCTGCGCGGATCCAGTCGATCAACACCTCAGTGACGTCACCCTTGCTGCGCAAGGGGAACACCGTGGTGTAACGCGAGTAGTCGTCAACCACCAACAGGAAGTAACGCTCGTTTCCCTGGCCACGGACGCAGGCGGGGCCCCACACGTCCATGTGAAGAGTCTGCAGTGGAGCCTCTGTCGGAGGAAACTCGGAGGAGTGAGGGGCGGCGCGCTGTCGCCCCTCGACGCAGGGGACGCAGGTAGGGGCAGGCCCCGGAGGTAGGGGAGGTAGGGACCGGGGGAGACCAGAGACAAGGACACGGGAGGCCATGCCTCGGAGACGAGGCAGGGAGGGGTGACCAAGGCGGTGGTGCCAGAGGAGAGTCTGGTGGGACAGGAGACGACACAAGCAGGGCGCAGACTCAGGACCAGACCTGGACGCTGCAGCAAACACCTGACTCGACGCAGCTACCTGACCAGACTCAGGAACCGGAGGAGACTCAGTAGTCAGTGTGTACAGGCTCGACCCCGGCCGACGGGTAAACATGGCCAAGTGTCGGCCCGTCCGAGCACACGTGCAGTGGGTCACCCGCTGACTCGCAGGAGTGAACTGGTCAACCCCCTTATCCTGTAGATCAGCTCCACTCACCAAGTTCGTAGAGAACGAGGGGAGGTAGAGACCTGACAGGGTGCCAGAGGGGGCTGCCGGGCACGGTAAGACAGTGGAGAAGCTAGCAAGGACAGGACCCCCAGAGGGGTCCGCCAGGGAGACCGCAACCGGCCGACTAAGCGGCGTAAGCGTGGTGCGGTCTCGAAAGAAGGAGCGGGAAGCACCCGAGTCAAGGGTGAAGGTGTGTAAGGCCTGAGCCGACGTGGTACCTGAGAGAGCAGACTCACCAGCACCTGGAGTAGCAGACGCACTAGCACCTAGAGCAGCAGTCTCACCAGCACCTAGAGCAGCAGCCTCAATGCCCGGGTCAGGCGGAAGACACAGGTAACAGTCACCCTCATCACTAGTAGACACAGCATACATGGCAGCAAGAATAGCATCATAATCAAGATCAAAGATAGCAACCCCCGCCCTAGACAGCTCTCCCCAGCGAGGGATCTCAGTGGCGTCAGGGAACTGGTGACGCCACGCGTCCGTCAGGCGGCCGAAGCAGCGCTGGGTGGAGTGCGGGCCCCCGCACTGCTCACCAGCGCGGTCGCCGGTACGGAGGACGTAGGTGCAGGGACCAGTACCCCCACCTCGCTGACGCCCAGCGTACCACTCACGAAGCTGCTGGGGGGACGGGGTCTCACGACTGCGCTGCTGCTGCTGGCGCTGACCACCACCGGAGCCACTCCTCTGCGCAGAGCCGCGACCAGCTCCACCGCTGCCTCCGCCGCCTCCGCCACCTCCGCCGCCTCCGCTCCCTCCGCCACCGCCGCCGCCTCCTCCGCCTCCACTGCTGCTACCGACACCTCCACCCCCGCCACCACTCCCACCACCACCCCCACCCCCTCCACTGCCTCCACCACCACCTCCACCGCCCCCGCCAGCCCCTCCAGCGCCCTTGCCCCCCTTGCCCTTGCCGGTGCGGCGTCTCCCGCTAGGGGCAGACGCAGCGCCGACCGACTCGAAACCAACGAGTTCGGCCGCAGCAGCAGAAGCAACAGAGGGCAAGAGGGGGGAGGGGGAACACCCCTCAAAGACGGGGGTGCGAGGGTCACCACGAGAGGCTCCTACAGCGACTATGCTCTTCTCTGCTGCTAGGAGGCGCTCCTCGAGGAGGTCAACGGTGAGTGTGGTGGGGCAAACTGAGAGGAAGTGGTCCTTGACTAAGCGAAGGGAGTCAAGGAGCCGGGTGACTATGTAGTAGAGGGTGATGTACATGGGGGGGGGGTTCTTGGCACAGAACTCAGCAGGAAGCGCAGCGCGGTAGCGAGTGTCACTAGTGCGAAGGTGCGTAATGAGGTCAGCGACTGTGGGAAAGGCAGCAAGGTCAGGGAACAGGTACGGCAGCATGAGGCGGCTAAGCGCAGCAGTGGCAGGGGAGGAGTAGCGTGCAACTACAGCGTCGTACAAGGTCTTAGCACTCTTGTACTGGCTAAAGTGTGCACGCTCAGTGGTCGGTAAGTGGCGATGCACAGCAAGACGGGCAGCAGCATCGCGTGTGGCCCACTGTGAGCGAACAGTGCTGTCAGCAGTAGCAGGCGGGGCAGGAGAGGCACCAGAGGTGAGATCGAACAGGGAGAGTCCGTCAGCCCAATCGCACTGTAGGAACAGCTGGAGGTCATCGACCCAGACCTCAAAGTCAACAGCACGACCCTCAGCATCAAAGGTAAGGACACTGGGGGTAGCCATGACTGCAGTGGCCTAGCAGGGAGGGATCTCACCAGTCCGAGTAAGTAGGGCCGGGGCGCGCCGGTAGGAACAGTAGCGGCTCAGCGGCAGGGCGGCTCGGCGGCTCGGCTGCTGGGCGGCTCGGCGGCTCGGTTGCTGGGCGGCTCGGCGGCTCGGCGGCTCGGCTGCTGGGCGGCTCGGCGGCTCGGCTGTTGGGCGGCTCGGCTGCTGGGCGGCTCGGCAGCTCGGTTGCTGGGCGGCTCGGCGGCTCGGCGGCTCGGCTGCTGGGCGGCTCGACCGCTGGGTGGTTCGGCTGCTCAGCTGCTGGGCGGCTCAGCGGTGAAGGGGCCGATAGAGGCGGCGATGGGGCCGCTAGGGGCGGCAACGGGGCCGCGAAGGGCGGCGAGGTGGCCGCGAAGGGCGGCGACGGGGCCTCCAGGGGCGGCGACGGGGCCGCTGGGGGCGGCGACGGGGCCGCAGAGGGGCCGCAAGGGGCCTAGAGGGGCGGCGACGAGGCCGCGAAGGGGCCGTAAGGGGCCTAGATGGGGCGGCGACGGGGCCGTAAGTGGCGGCGACGGGGCCGCGAAGGGGCCGCGAGGGGCCTAGAGGGGCGGCGACGGGGCCGCTAGGAGCGGCGACGGGGCCGTGAAGGGGCCGCGAGGGGCCTATAGGGGCGGCGACGGGGCCTAGAGCGGCGGCGACGGGGCCGTGAAGGGGCCGCGAGGGGCCTAGAGCGGCGGCGACGGGGCCTAGAGCGGCGGCGACGGGGCCTAGAGCGGCGGCGACGGGGCCGTGAAGGGGCCGCGAGGGGCCTAGAGGGGCGGCGACGGGGTCGCTAAGGACGGCGACGGGGCCGCTAAGGGTGGCGCGAGGGGCCTCTAGGAGGGCGCGACGTGAGGGCGGCCTACGGGGCACGCCTCGGGCAGAAAAAAAAAGATCGAGTTAGGTGGTGGGCCCTGAGAAGCGTTCCCACGAGGGAACCTGCTCTATACCATGTTAAGAATGAGGAATGAGTGAACTAGCAAGCAGGTGGGTACAAGTAGGAAAACCTAAAAGTGTTGTACCCCATATGGTCTACCCCACTACAGCCTACACAGACTATAGCAGATAAGTTTGACAGAAAGCTGTCGAGAAGTCGAGGGAGTGCAGCTCGTAGTCACACGAGCAGGAACGGAAGCTCTAGTCTCAGTCTCAGGAGTGGAAGCACGAGTCTCAGGCTCACGACGCTCAGTGAGGGACTTTGTCACAGCAGTGTAAGGGGCAGGAGCAGGTAGTGGGGTGTGAGGCAGTAGCTGTGGGAACAGCAATGGAGGAGTAGTACCAGCGACTGGGAACTCAGTGGGAGCTGGCGGAAGACCGAGAAGGTGGCGAAGCGCACCAGCCGGTCCAGCACCTCCAGTGGTGGCAGCTCTAGCACCTCCAGCACCAGCAGCACCTCCAGCACCAGCAGCACCTCCAGTACCTCCAGTACCTCCAACACCAGCAGCACTAGCACCTTCAGCACCTCCAGCACCAGAAGCACCTCCAGCACCAGCAGCACCTCCAGTACTATTAGCTCCAGTACCTCCAACAGTACCTCCAGCACCTCGAGGACCTCCAGCACCTCCAGCACGAGCACCTCCAGCACCTCCACCACCTCCACCACCAGCAGCACTAGCAGCTCGAGCACCTCCTGCACCAGAAGCACCTCCAGCAGCACCTCCAGTACTAGCAGCTCTAGTACCTCCACCACCAGCAGCAGCTCCGGCACCTCCAGCAGTACCTCCAGCACCTCCAGGACCTCCAGCACCTCCACCACCAGCGGCACCTCCAGCACAAGCAGCTCCAGCACCTCCAGCACCACAAGCACCTCCAACACCAGCAGCAGCTCCGGCACCTCCAGCAGTGCCTCCAGCACCTCTAGCACCAGCAGTATCTCCAGGACTAGCAGCTCCAGTACCAGCAGGACCGTACCCTCCACCACCAGGACTGCCTCGCCAACGATCCACGCACGGATCGCCTGCGGCGAGAGCGTCTCAAGTAGATCCGGATGCGCTGGCTGTCCAGCTCTAGGACCTCCACCAGCGTCACCCACAGCTCCACCGCCAGTAGGAGTCGCAGCACCCCCAAACACAGCACCCCCAGAACCAGCACCCCCAGTCGCAGCACCCCCAGACGCAGCGCCCCCAGAACCCTCACCCTTTGTCTCAGCACCCCCAGGCTCAGCACCAGCAGTCTCAGCTCCAGATTCCACAGCAGCAGGCTGCGGAGGCGGTGAAGACGGCCAAGGCGGAAAACCAAGGGGGGTCACAAAGCGTGGAGAGCGGCGATTCGCCGCCGTGTCGTCAGCGGCGGGGTCACCCCCCTCAGCTGGGCAAAAGTAGTCAGAAGAGATCTCCAGAGGCTCAACTAAGGGTGGTGGGTCTATCTGAGACACACCTGAGGGAGCAGGACCCTGTGGGGGGAGGGGGTCTACCGGGGGGGGGGACTGGTACCAGGAAGAGAGGCGCGAGGGGGACCGGGTGGGACACGTGCGGGTGTAGCCTGTAGAAACAGACAGACTCGTCAAAGGTGACGTCATGGGAGGAGAAGACTCGACGCTCGCGCGGGTGGTAGAACTGCCACGGCGGGGCGTCGGTAGGGAAGCCAAGGAAGACGCAGCAGAGAGTGCGAGAGGAGAGCTTGCTCTCTTTGGCATTGCGAACAAGGGAGAGCGCGCCCTAGACCTGAAACATCGTCGCATCGCCAACCTTCTCCATCCACCAGAGGGTGGGCGAGGTCTATGGCTCAGAGACATGGGGCCAGAGGCTGAGCTAATGCGCAGCGTATCGAGCCGCAAACGGCCACAAAAAATGGGGAGCAACCGCATGGATCATGAAGGAACGAGCAACCTCCATGATCAAGCCAATGCGACGCTCAGCAATCCCATTCTGCTGAGGAGAGGCCGGAAGCGTGAACGTCTGGCGGACGCCCTCGTCTCGACAGAACTCTTCAAGGAGGCCGGAAGAGAACTCACCGCCCCTGTCAGAGTGCAAACGCAGGACTCGCAAGACCCGACAAAACCGCTCGCGCAAATGGCGACGAGTACCACGGATCCAGGGGATCAAAACACTGCTGACGTCCGCCTTTCGCCGCAAGGGGAAGACAGTTGTGTAGCGTGTGTAGTCATCAACAACCAGCACGAAGTAACGCTCCTATTTTGTTCCACCGACGGGGGCCGGGCCCTACCCGTCCATGTGGAGAGTCTGAAGAGTAGCAGTGGTCGGAGGAAACTCGGAGGAGTGAGGAGCGGCGCACTGCCGCCCCTCGACGCAGGGAAGGCACGGCGGTGCAGGCGAGTGCGGGAGGGAGGGCAGAGACCTGGGAAGCCCAGAGACAAGGAGACGGGAGTGCATGCTACGGAGACGCGGGAGCGAGGGGTGACCAAGGCGGTGGTGCCAGAGGAGAGTCTGGTGAGAGAGTACCCGACATGAGCAAGACGCTGCAAGCTGACTAGACGCAGACACCCGACTCGACGCAGCCACCTGACCTGCCTCAGCCACCTGTGCAGACGAAGTGGTCAGTGTGTACAGACTAGACCCAGGCCGTCTAATGAACGTAGCAAGGTGACGGCCAGTCCTAGAGCACGTACAGATCGCCACACGCTGCCCTCCAGGAGTAAAGGTATCAACCCAGACATCCTGAAGAGCGGTGTTGCTCACCAAGTTCGTCGAGAACAAGGGTAGGTGGAGACCTGTCAGATAACCGAAGGGGAGTGCTGGACACAGGAGGACAGTGGAGGCTCATGCAACTACTGGACCCCTAGAGGGGTCAGCAGTGAGACTGGCACAGGTGCTGCTAGTGGTGTGAGTGTGGTGTAGTCACGAAAGAAGCAACGAGACGAGCCTGAGTCAAGTGTGAAAGTGTGCAAGGCCTCAGCGGAGGTAGCAGTCTCACTAGCACCTGTGACAGCAGACGCATTAGCGCCTAGAGCTGCAGCAGACTCACTAGCACCAAGAGCGGTAGCAACGACACCAGCATCACCAGGGACACACGAGTAACACGCATCCTCATCAATAAGCTCAGTCGCATACATAGCATAGAGGGCAGCATTGATCTTCACAAATTCAAGAGCATAAACATCTACTCCCATCCCCTGCAGTTTCAGCCAGTTGGGGGCTGGCAGCTCATCCCTGTACTCATCCACCCAGGCATCCTCAAGACGGCCGAAGCAGCGATACTCAGTGTGCGTCTACCCGCAGGTCTGACCCTTCAGCTTCCCTGTGCGCCTGACGTACGGGCAACGACCAGAGCCCCCAGAGGAACCACACTGGACAACCCACTCACGAAGCTGCTGAGTGGTGGGTTTGTCCGGGCGCGGCAGTTGCTGTCCACTCCCAAAGCCTCCACCGCCATGTGCGGAAGCGCCACAGCCTCCACCCTTGCCAGCCCCACCCTGACCTCCTCCACCGCCCCCTCTGCCTCCACCACCCGAGCCGCCTCCACCACCCCCGCCGCCTCCACCACCCCGTCCGTCTCCACTGCCTCCACCCCCAGAGCCACCACCACCGCCTCCACCCCCGCCACCACCACCCCCGCCACCTCCACCGCTGGTGCCGCCCCCACCACCCTTGCCCCATTTGCCCTTGCTGTTGTTGTGCCTCCCACTAGGAGCAGACCCACCGCCAACGAGGTCGATAGCAGCAACAGTAACAACTGAGGGGAGGAGATGGGAGGGTGCACATCCTTCAAAGAAGGGGGAGCGGGGAGTGCCCTGAGAGGCAGCGACAGCGACAGTGCTCTTCTCAGCCTCGAGAAGGGACTTCTCAAGTGAGTCAAGCGTGAGCTCAGTGGGATCAAGGGCTAGGACTTGGTCCCTGACAGTGCGAAGGGAGTCAGGGAGACGGGTGACGAGGAAGTACAGTGTCATATACAAGGGGGGGGGGGGGGGGGGGGGGGGGTTCACAGCGAGAAGAGTCGGTTTGAGAGCGGCGCGGTAGCGAGCCTCACTAGAGCGGAGGTGGGTAAAGAGGTCAGAGACTGTGTGGAAATCGGCTAGCTCGGGATGCAGGTACGGCAGCATGAGACGGCCTAGGGCAGCAGTAGCTGGGGAAGAGTAGCGAGCGACTACAGCGTCATAGAGAGCCTTGGCTGTTTTCTGCTGGCTAAAATGCACTCGTTCAGCGACAGGAAGGTGGTTGCGGACTGCAAGGCGGGCAGTAGTGTCACGAATGAGCCACTTTGAATTATCTGCTGCCGCTGTGTCAGGTGGGGCTGGGAGGGATCCGTTGGTATGTGCGAACAGTGGAATGCCATCCCTAACCTCGCTCTGCAGGAACAGCAAGAGGTCATCGAGCCAAATGTCAAAGGTAATCGCGCGACCCTCAGCGTCGAAACTAAGAACTTAGAATGTAGCCATAGTAGCAGTAGCAGCAGTAGGAGCAGTAGCAGCAGCACTAGCAGCAGCAGTAGCAGCACGACAGTGTGGCTCAGTAGGGGCACGGCAGTGCGGCTCGAGCAAGGCGGCGCGGCTCGGTAGGGCGACGCGGCGCAGGCTTGGCAGCGTGGCTCGGCAGGCCACAGCGCAGCACCGCGTGTGGCAGCAGCAGTAGTAGCAGCAGCGCGTTTTGCAGTAGTATCCGCGCTCAGCAGCAGCGCTTGTGGCAGCAGCAGCTCAGGCGCAGCAGAAGGAACAATTGCAGCAGCAGCAGCAGCAGCTCGTTCAGCAGCAGCAGCGCAAGCGGCAGCTGCAGTAGTGGGTGCGCGTACGTGGGCCAGCAACAGCAGCGCAGTAGCACGGTAGCAGTAGCAGGACGGGCGCTTGCGCACAGCAGCAGCGCAGCAGCAGCGGAGTGCGCGGCAGAAGCGGCAGCGCGCAGGGGCTGGGTGTGCACTCGCGTAAGAGCAGCAGTGCGCGCAGCAGCGGGCAATGCGTAGGGGTGTGCGGGGCAGCACGCAGTGCGCACTGCAAGCGGGGCGTGCGAAGGTCGCGAAGGCTGCGAGAGGGGTGCGTGAAGGCCGCGAGCGTGCGGGGCCCAGGTAGCAGCGCGAGCAGCTTGCGGGGCAGCCCAAGGAGCGCGCGACTGCAAACGGGCAGCAGGGCAGCGCTACGCTCTTAGAACGGGCTGGGCAGCGCAGTAGCACTTCGGGCAGGGAAAAGTTTAACGGTGGGCCCTTTAAGGACTTAGGTCCTAAGGTCTAGGAACGCCCTAGCCTCTGAAACCATGTTAGAAACCTATTGAGAAGGATGGATGATTATGTAGGAGGGGGGGGGGGGGGGGAGGTACAAGAGTACCGTATCGCCCCGGATATAACCGCATGCCAATTAAAAGCGCATGCACTTATATATGGAGCAATGCGCTTATGGACGATCCTCAATTAGAAGCGCACCCCTTATAAAATCGTTACTTATTATAAGCGCACCCTTGTGTTAAAATGAGAACTAATGAATGACTGAACTAGAAAGCAGGTGGGTACATATAGGAAACCTAGAAGTGTTGTACCCTGTAAGAACTACCCCACTATAGCCTAAACAGACTATAGCATATAAGTATGACACACCCCCATAGGCAAAGTGGGGGAGAACAAGAGGTCACAAGACCAGTCAAGAAAGGCAAAGCAAGCTCAGGGTGGATCACAAAGTCACCACACAGTCCGAGCACAAGCAAGGGGCCACAAGGCCAGTTCACATGCAGAGTTGTATAAAGGAAAACAAACAATACAGTGAACACAACCTAGCAAGTGGAAGCATGCAGGTATAAGTATATAGAGTACAGTACAAGCAAAGTCAAGAAGTCAGCAAGTGAGGCACAGTAGGTACAAGGCCTAACACAGTATAGAAACACTGATGATCACAAGGCTGAAGTGCCTTGGTGAAAACATCAGCAGTGTTGGCCTGAGAGGCCACGTAAGCAAGACGAAGCTGGCCACGCTGCTGCAACTCTCGAGCAAGGAAGTAGCGCAGAGCAATGTGCTTCGTTCTGTGCTCCAGTCTGTGCTCCTGACACAAG